TTCACAACGTGACGGAACATCAGAGGTAATGAGTAATTGAACTGCAGTCAGAGAGAATATTGTTAAGCACGTTGAGAATTATAGCGTTTGTTACAGAGCGACTGTTGAAATTAAGTGTATCGTAAAGTTGTATTCGGAAAGAATAAACAGCTAGTCATCACCACCCACCGCCAACTCTTGGGCTACTCTTTTACCAACGAATAGTAGGATTGACCATCACATATAACGCCCCCACGGCTGAAAGGGCGATCATGTTTGGTGTGACGGGGATTCGAACCCGCGACCCTCAGATTGCGAGTCGAGTGCATTAACCACCTGGCCATGCCGGGCCATTGTTATTATATATACATGTACGAGTGCTATATGTTAATTCTTGCCTGTGTTATTATATAGGGATGATGCAAATAACATCCCTACATTTACTTCCATTTTGAATTTTTTTTTCTTTAATTCTTAGCTATGTTCTATTCTTGTGTGCCAGAAATACCAAGCGCGCGCGCATCTCAGATTCGATTTTATTGTTCTAATTATAAGTCCAAAGTAGCGCATCGTCTGTTTTATATGTGTACAATATAATATCTATAAAAGCATTTGAAACTATGTCACCTTAATAAAATTGGCTGACACCATTGTTCTGGTTTTTGAGCTATAATGCAGTAAAAAGAAGAACAAGAAATTCAGAGTTTTTGTTATGATGTTTACAGACATTCCCAGAACTTTTGACTCAGTCATTACATATATATTGTTATAAAAGGAAATACTGTGGAGTATTGTAAGGTTCTGATGACCTATTGATAATATATTTAAAATACCATTTCGATTAACAATCCGGGCCATCACTGCATAAGCAATGCTAGCCTGTTTGCACATATTCTACGTATGGCTCATTCCTACTATAACTACCACCGTACTTATGATATACACATATATATATATATATTGTTACGTCTCTGGTCGTTAATTAATTTTCCGTAAAAATTCTTTCCGAAGAAACTTTAGCGATACAAGTCCTTTCTTAAATGAAACTGGTTTATTCTTTGTGAATACAACTTTGAAATTCACTTAATTTCCACGGTCACGCTATACCTTAAACAAACGCTACAATTCACAACGAACGATATACACGCTCGACCCAACAATACGTCTCTATATCTGTCTGCAGTTCAATTACATTACGTTGTTAATAAACAAGAAAATTAAATGTTTGTTGAAAATTTAATAAAAATGTATTTAATTATAAAACTTTAATATCCGATGTGACAACATAATTTTAATTCGGAATTTCCTAAATATTTGTTATATATTACCTTATAAACTTTCATTGACGAATAAACACAAAGGCTCTCTAGAACTATCCTGTTCCTTTGGGAGTGCTCTAGCATTTGCTAGATTGGGGGTTGCCTGGTATATATAAGATGGTCACGGCGTGACGTGACAGTGTGTGTCGGTAGTGAGTAATTGAACTGCAGTCAGAAAGTATTGTTGAAGTTAAAGTTCGTTGTTATAGCGTTTGTTATAGAGCGACTGTTGAAAATAAGTGTATCGGTAAAGTTATATTCAGAAAGAATAAACCAGTTTTATTAAGAAAGGACTTGTATCGCTAAAGTTTCGTGTGAACGAAGTTACGGAAAATCAACTAATGAACGGAAACGTAACAAATTGGTGTCAGAAGTGGGATAAAAAAAATGGAAACGAGATGCGGCAAATCAAACTACAGCATAGCAGACTTGATGGCAGCAATACAAGAACAGCAAAAGAAACAAGAAGAACGAGAAAATAAACAAGAAGAAAGAGAAGAGAAATTACAACAGTTGTTAGAGGAAAAAGAAAAGAAACAAGAAGAACGAGAAATTAAACAACTCCTCCAACCACTGCTGTAGTCTCTCTTGTTTATTTTGCTGTTCGAGCTGCCACTGTTGCAGGTTTTCTTGCCACTGCTGTTGCCTCTCTTCTTGTTTCTTTTCTTTTTCCTCCAACAACTGCTGTAATCTCTCAAAGAAAAGAAACAATAAGGACGAGAAAAGAGACAAGAAGAGAGACTACAGCAGTGGTTGGAGGAGAAAGAAAATAAACAAGAAGAGAGACTATAGCAGTGGTTAGAGGAGAAAGAAAATGAACAAGAAGAGAGACTACAGCAGTGGATGGAGGAAAAAGAAAATAAACATGTAGAAAGTATCCAACAATTGAGAGAAAGCCAGAGTACACAAATGGAGAACATTAGTAAATTTCAAAGCGAATTAAATATATTAAAGGATGATTTATTGTCTTTTACACAAGGAGGAG